GATAAATTGTCACTATATTACGCCTCGGGAGTGAGAACAGGCTGAGTAGGGGGTCTGCAATTTAGTAGAGTGGACCCAGGAGTTTTTTTCCTGCTTTTTAATATACTCTAGGTCTCCATTGTTGTTGTCTTGCTTAGGCTTGTTAAATTGTATTTTAGCCTGATTAAATGTTTTAACACAGAAGTGTTTTGTGTATTTAACTGAGTTGCCCTCTCTGGGCACTCCTCCCTGTAACTTGCCTCCCAACAGTGCCTGCCTGTGGTGGTATAGGTGTTGGTCTACTTTCTTCCAGTTTTCTGGTGTTGACTCCACTCAGGTGCCCCCGGGTACACTTGATATCTCTTCTCTTTGCCTCTCTAAATACTGTTATTTACACTCCAAAGTTTGCCTAAAATTGTCAGAGTGTTGTCGTCTTTTATTATCCTCACTATGATGGATATTGGGTTTCAATTTATGATTTCTGTGCTCTCAGAGATGGGCACACGCACACAGAGTAAGCTACAGATACAATTCTTTGTATTGTAATGCTCTTTATTGAACTGTGTATACAAATTTCTTTTCATTTTTAGCTATATAGAAAGGCTCACAAATAGATAGGACTGCTGTAGTAGGAATATTGTTGACAGGAAATCGCATAGTAAAAATAGATGAAATTGTCAGCACATGCCCACTTAATCTGACAGCACATATATAAATGTCTTGATGCATGCTCAATCATCCAGGTAAGTACATCTACATCCAGATGAACAGAATCAACTTATGGAGACGCATATATAAATCTATGGGCTTGCAGGATAAATGGGTAATGCAAACTTCTATAACAAATCTTAGCACTTTTTCCCCCAGGTTTGCTGAATGTGTGATGAGTTTTTAAAAATTTGGTAATTGAACTAACACATGTATAAAAGAGTAGACAAATATTAATATATGTATCTGGTAAATATGTATATACACCTCAAAAAAAAAGACATAACACAGAGATATGCTTGCTTGACGCTTCAATTTTAAAGAAAGAAGAGAACAGTTTTCTTTGCAGAAGAAAAATGTAAAATCAATCCTTTGGTAACAAGTCTGCTCCCACTAAAGTCACATGGCCTTAATGACAGCCCAACTTGTGTTGATTGTTCATTTTCTTTGGGTGCTATAGAGAGGAAAAATATAATGCTGCAAAATAAAATAAAGTAAGAGCTAGCGAAACACAAACACCATCATACATCAGTGTCAGTCCAAGAAACATTAGACTTTCTTGGCGCAGACAGATGGCAGCTGAGCATCACACTGCAGATCATCCCAGCACTTGGAACCTGAAAGGTTCACAAGTAGAAGTCAGTAAAATGTTAAAAAAGTCAAAAACCTAAACTCTAGTTAATTAGCCTTTATGGCTTCTATCTTAGATCACGTAAACCTTTCAAACACATTAAGCAATCATGTTAATTATTGTTTTCTAAATTACCTCCATAATTCATCTGAATACAGTGCTGATTGTGATTATTATTGGGCTCTCCTCGGCACCAGTGTGAATAGTGAAAACTGGTGCCATCACTCCACAACCAAATACCCTCCTAGAAGACAGAAATTGAACACATTAGTTCAGGGCGGCCAAAATGTTAAGCATAGCCACAGTTCTAGCAGATCATCTGACTTTGAGCACGCAACCTTCTATGTAAAAACTGGAAATTCTCACACTGGGCATGTTCTTTAAGCTCCTTTAGCCTACTGGTAGTTTCACTATTGTCTACAACCCATATTTAAATCCAATTAAACCCCAGGTCTGCCGTTCATATATTTTTGACATAGTGTATAGGTTATCATTTATGCTTGTTGTGTTTTGTATTCTAGCTCCTTCCCCTGACTTAGGCTTCCAACATGTGTACAGAAAAGACCAGGTACCTTCATAGCCATGCCATACCATTAGATATAAATCACTGCAGGTGGAAATTTAAAAATAATTTTGACTACAGTGGTTCTGACTGAATTTATTAGACACCTAACAAATACTGTCTAATAATAAACAAAATACCTGGGGTGCATCAGTTCCTCCAATCCAAGTTTGGGGGTAGCCATAATGGGCAGTCAGTCGCTGAATTGTCTGGTACTCTCTGATGCTGCGCACTGATGCAAGGTTTGCCCCCATGGACAAGCAGTTTCTCTTCAGTGGAGAGTGACAGAGAGCAGAAATTTTTAATGTAATTAGTAACAGTTAAAAGTGGTTTAATCAGAAAAGAAAAAGAAACTCACCTCAGCTCTAGCCCAACTCATGGTTGTTGGAACGTAGTAAAAGCAGCGATTATCTTGGCGAGTCCAACGATAAGGACAACGTTTGGAACTCTTGACCAGGTGACTGTTGGCTGGGATCAAATGAATAGTTGTACATGTATCTCTGGTTGACAGATTTTGTATTTTTTAATCATGCTATAAACAATCACTGACAAGTCATGCAAGTAGACAGTGAAATATTTGTTAAGTGATTCACAGTGTTCAGGTGCAGGTATGTGTACAAATATGTAGGTCAACTAACAAAGTGCGGGGAATTCTTATTTCTTAGGCATGTATTTGTGCATACATTGAATTATAGTTCCATGTTCAAATTATAACAGTAATATCTAGATATATAGATAGATAGATAGATAGATAGATAGATAGATAGATATATAGATAGATAGATAGATAGATAGATAGATAGATAGATAGATTCTGCTGCAATACTCACCAACAGCCATGGTTAGAGCCATCATTGCACAAAGAAGTGCAGCCACAGTCAGCAGCTTCATGGTAATGTTAGTATCTCTGTTGAAAAAGAAAATCTAAAATGTCTAGCAGTTCATTAAAGAAAGCACACAAGATAATCTGAGAGTTTGTCACAAACCTTTTGAAGAATATCTTCTCCTATTTCTTTTCAGTATCAGTATCAGTATCTGGTAGCTTCAACTGTCCAGTGTGGAGGTGCTGAACTTCTCTAAGACCAGCGTTTTAATACCGTTTATATTTACATATTTGCATAACCAGGAACTAACACTGAAAAAAACTGACACGTACATAATTTGCTAAATATTCATCACACTTCTTTCTTTCCCAACCAAAACCAAAATAATAACTACTGACTTAAAATCACATATTCACTGAAGCTCAACAAAGATATAAAACTACAGGACAACTGACAAAGCTTGTGTGTTAAGTGAGAAACTGTGCTCAGGAAGATTAATATACATTGAAACTAGTGTTACTGTCAGTGTTTAGCATTCTAATATTATATAATAAAATATTACTTGTGGTTAAAAAAAGCCAGGAAAGTGTTGCCACCACTTGACACCACCGTTACTCTTTATCCCACATAGAAAAAGTGGTGTGGCCCGGATCTGGCCGACACAATGTGCTTACACATGGCCCACATACCACATAGAATGACGGCCCTTTGGTGGCCCAGATCTGGTTTGCCAGAGGTTTCAGCCTAATGTGTACTTTAATCAAGTCATGTAATAACGACATGTCCCGGAACATAATAGTGCAAAAGTAACATCGCAAAACTCTGTTCAGACGGTGAATGGACTGATTCTTACATATCACTTTTCTACTCTCCCGGATTACTCAAAGTGCTCTTTACAACATGGCACATTCACCCAATCACACACTTTCTTTAAGCTGACTGCTTCCTAACTACATTCATATGCATTCACACTCCTGACATGGAGACTGGAGGAGCCAAGGATTGAACCAAGTTAACTAAGAAAGATCAACTGGAGAAAAAGAGTCTAAATAAATACCAATGGGTATTGAATGCTACTTGTTTTCTCCACCAATTTATGTTAATATGTCACTAGTAATTTAAAGAAACAAGAACTCAGGTATAATTTCAATTATATTGGAAAACTCATGCATTTGTACTGCTTACAAAAAGTTGTTTTTAAATCCTTGCTGTTCTGGTTTTTTTTGCTGATTTCAGACACAAAAGTCACAGTGTAAATAGTTGACACATTGCAATTAAAACCACAGCTGTTAAACTGGCTTTTTTGGATACTGAACAAGTAATGAGGACTGTTGCCCGGTGAGGCTTTGGAACAAGACATCAGTTCATTCACTGTCTGAACAGGGACGAGTCTTAATTTCAACTTATTGTGTAAGAATAATGTTGGGGAGTTGTGGTCTGTAGCTCCACTGAAGAGGAGGGATGGTGCAGTGGGTTCAAGGGACAGTGCCAGGAAGCTGGAAAGGTGGCTAAGCCCTCTGTATATCAGTGAAGCTGGAACCTGGACCTGTGTGTGTCAAGCAGCAATGCAACAACTGTAAAGCTGTAAAGCTGTCAGGAGTGAAGAAGAACCTTTGCAAATCAATTATTTCTCTTTCCAACACAGTGTGTTCTGGGTCCTTTCTATCACAGTGATACCAAAATATCCGTTGGGCATGTCGGACCTGCAGCCCACAGAGCAAGCTCAGCTGCTCAGCCAGGTGATGG